TTCTGTGTTTTAAAACCTGAATGTGGGAAGTGACAATATGTTTGACTTCTCCTTGTCTTGGCTTGATTTTCTTCCAGATTTTCCAACCGCCTGCCCTCTACCCACAATGCAGAGAGATAAAGAATGGGGTTCATTATGTCTTAACAGGACTGTCAGCTTCAACCAGACATAAATTTCTTTCTTTTCCTTCACTGAGCTGTTAATCTGGGTGTTTCACCCAACTGTTCCATTTCAATAAGGGCAGGAATGATTTTCTGCATGTATGGCTCATGGAGTTAGATATTTTGGGGACCACAAAAATCTTTCTTTTTTCCCTTTCTTTCTTCCTTTTTTCCCTTCTCTCTCTCTTAAAAAAATTTATTTAAAAACAATTTATTGAGCTCTTTACAGTGGCAGGTATTATGCTAGGCACTGGGGAGAAATACAAAAATTAAAAAAAAAATGTTACCCTCAAGCAGCACAGTCTCTTAGATGAACAATAATTGTAAGACAATGTAACTGATGGTGTGGTAGCAGTGTGTAGAGAATGGAACAATGGCCCAGAGGAAGGAGTCAATGAATCTGTCAGGGAGAGTCAGAAAAATGCCTCAAAAAGTAGGTGCCATTCATGTATAGTCTTGAAGCATGACTAAAAGTCACAAATTAGAGGGGGCAAAAGGATCACAAGCAGAGGGGCAAATGTGTGGAAAGGTTCAAGTAATAGTCCACATAGTAGAAATCAGTGAGGTGTGCCTAGCGAGCGGTGGGTATATGGAAACAACAGGGGATGTGCCAGGTACGAAGATACTAATCAGCCGTGCCTTTCCAAATCTGAGCTTTAGGACTGGACAAGGAAGAAGGAGAAGCAGAGACCTATTGCAGGTGTGTTCAGGAGAAGAGATAGACTTAGCATATACTTAGGGGGAGGAAGTGACACTTCACCAATAAATGAGAAAGGCATGGATCCAGAGAGCAAGTATTGAATTCTGCCATGAACATGTGCTCATTAGTAACCTGAGGGAAGATGCCCAGGAAGAAGGTAGAGTGGGATTTCTGCAGCTCCAGAGAAGGCTGAGGTCTAAGGATATGGATCCAGGAGTCACCTGGAACAGATGGCACTTATAAGAAGGTGGGAAGATTATCAAGTGAACTCCCAAGGGGACAGGTCCCCTTTGGAAGAGTTAAATTACATGGAGGATACCCATTTGGTAGATGAATTTCATTTCCTTAGGTCAGGAGACCATGGAACCCTAAGAGATGTGGGAACACCTGACATTTTAAGCAAAGCTTGGCTTAAATGCAGCTTTTTATGGCAACAGAATCTATAGCTTTTACCAAATTTTCAAAAGGATCTGAGCTGAAAAAGGATTAAAACCTATTGTGTTTCGATAAATAGGTGTATGTATTTATTTATGTCTGAGATGCTTGGGACTTAGACTGAATTAAAGAGAGGTTTGTTTCAGGCTTGAAAAAAAATTAATGTAATGATTTTGTTCTCATTTGGTCATTATGGGAAAAAGAATACAAGTTCTACAACTGTTTTGGGACAGAGGAAAGAAGAGAGGTGGGAGAGAAGAGGGAGTTTGGTTGGATTCATGATTTGGTAAGAAAAATTTCCTATTTATATTCTGTTCTTAACAAATCTCTACAAAAGAATGTTTCAGATTAAATATATTGGATCAGCCGGTGCCGTAGCTTAGCTGGTCAAAGCTCCTGGCTAGGAAATATATTTGATCGATCATATAACAAAATGGAGGAACGAAGTAACTGTCTATATGGTTTTAAAGTATTATCTTTGTCATTCTGAATAAGATATGTATTTCAGAAATTCCTAAGTTACCATTCCTTCAGATCCTCTCACCATGACTACCTACAATCTCCGGTTTGGTTTCGTATTTTGAACTTGATCCAAGTCTCTCACTTGACCATTACAGCACATAGTCAAGACTTTCTCCATAGTAGCCTTCTCCACATAAAGAGTGTTCATTGAAGGTTATACTCTTAATAGAATCTGAGCACAGTATAAAAATTATCAATTATTTTGTACACCAAAGGGCACTATCAAGAAGGTGAGAAGACAGTCATGGAATACGAAAAAATACTTGCAAATCACTTATTTGATAAGGAAGGGCCTGGTATCCCAAATATATATTAAAAAAAAGTCTTACTACTCAACAATAAAAAGATACATAACTCAATTTAACAATGAATAAAGGATTTGAACAAACATTTCTCCAAAGAAGATATACAAATAAAGGGCCAATAAGCACATGAAAAAAATGCTCATATCTTTAGGGAAAGACAAATCAAAGCCACAATGAGATACCACTTCACACGCATAGGATGGCTAGAAATTAAAACAAAAACAAAAGACAAAAAAAAAAAATCCTAGAAAATAACAAGTGTTGGCAAAGATATGGGGAAATTGGAACCTTTGTACATTACTGGTGGGAATATAAAATGATGCAGCCACTGTGGAAAACAGTTTGGCAGTTCCTCAAAAAGCTAAAGATAGAGTTAACATATGACTCAGAATTCTACTCTTAGATATATACTCAAGAGAATTGAAAACATATGTTCACACACCAAAAAGCTTGTACGCAAATGTTCATAGCAGCATTATTTATAAAAGCCTAAAAGTAAAAACAACCCAAGCGTCCGTCAACTGATGTAGAAATAAACAAAATGTGCTTTTACAATGGAATATTATTCAGCCATAAAAAGGAATGAACTACTCATACCTGCTACAAGGATGAACCTGAAAACATGATGCTAAGAGAAAGAAACCAGACACGAAAATTGTATGTATTGTTGTATGATTTGTGTATTGTTGACATGTATTATTGAATGATTCCAATTATATGAAATGTTCCAAATAGAAAAATCCATAGACACAGAAAGTGGATTCATGGTTGTCAGTGGGTGGGGAGAAAGGGGAATTGGGAAGGATGGGGTTTCATCTGGAGATGTTGAAAATGTTCTGGAATTGTATGGTGGTGATGGCTGCACAACACTGTGAATATACTAAAGGCCACTGAATTGCACAATTTAAAATGGTTAAAATGATGAATATGTTATACGAATTTTATGTCAATAAAAAAAAAAACAAAAATTGCCAATTAATTTTAGCTCTATCCCCAAAATAAGACAATTAGAATCTACAAACTTAAAAAAAAAATTCTTTGTAGAAGTCAAATATTTTCACATTGAATGAGAATCTCCCATTATTTTGAGATCAGTAGTATTTGTTCCAACGCTGTTAAAAGCTCAGGCACACTGAAACATGAAACCATTACTTAGCAAATAATGGAAAAAGTATAGAAAATACGAACATGTATGTGCTTAGTTTGTACATTTCCAAAATTTGAGAAAAATAAAATACCAAGACATTCTGTTAAAAGCCTCTTGAAATTGATGGGAGCATTCTCAAATATAAAAGTCTTTGGAAGTGATGGTAGAGAATAGGGGGATAGGAATCCAAACTGCCAACCCCTCTTCTTACTTCTGTTTCTTCAGGAAGTGAAAGCCAAGCTTTGGCCATCACGGTGCTCTGGAATCCTTTTGAATCTTGTACATTTTTTGGACTGATATTATTTACGTTTGTATTTGGAACACAAAACACCATCAACCTCCTCCCCGCACAATGCTCCCGTGTGGTCCCCAAGAAAGCTCATTTTATTTCTGCTTGTCTTTACACTGTGCAAAAGGGGGATATTTGTACGATGGAGAGGAGGGGTTTGACTTTTTTAAGAGAGGCTGGTAATCATGTTAAATAACTAACCAAAAATGTCCCAGTGTCAGCAAGGCTGTTTGATGACCATGACATGGGGAAGAGAAAAAAAAAAAATGACATGACTTTTTTTTTTTTTTTACTAAATAGTTTTCTCACCTTGTATGTGCCCATCTCCCCCGTTAACTCCTGAAGGACTCTGGTCCTAAGCCCCAGAAGCTCCCTGGGTGGCGGACAGGAGCAGCCCCATGACTGGCCCAATCCCGTGCCAAATGAGTGTATGTGACCCCTGGCTCAGAAATTATGAAGAATTTCAAAAAGCCAACAACAAGGCATCCACTTAGCAGCTGCTGACTCGTGGTCTGGTGGAAGGGGTTTGACCAGATAGACCCTCCTGGTTCCTGGTTCCACTGTACCCTTCCTGTGATTCGAGGTGAGTTACCCAACCCTCAGAACCTCACTGTTCTCACCGAAAATACGAGTCTAATATCCCCATCCCTCCCATGGCTGCCAGACTTTTTTTTCTTTAAAGTCTCAAGCTTGGATGCTATTGTTTAATGTGTTTTCCATGTTTCTGCAGGGAAGGGTGCTCTCTATATTTCGACGGGGTGTACGAATGGCAGGAAAGCCTTTTGGCAGATTAAATAAGGGTCCTTCAAAGATTAAGGAAGGGGGCCAAGGGGGACTGCACTTCCTCTCATCTCCAACCTGACACACTTTGCCTCTCTCTGTGTTTTTATTAGCGCGTATCCTCAGTACATCAGTGGCAAGGGTGATGAAACCGGTGGCAGATTTAACTGCCAGGCAGCTGGGTCACTGTCCCGTGGGTCTTGTTGTCATGCTGCGATCTTAAAGTGACCACGGCTGTTTGGGCTGCTGCTTTCCCGAAGACTCTGAGAGAGACCACTGAATAGTTAATCGGTGGGAGAGGAAGGGAAGAGGCTGTTGCTTGCAGAGAGCACAGAGAAGCCGCTTTGAAAAATCCCAAAGTGGCTGAATATCAAGAACACGGGTCCTGCTGTGGGCAGCTGTGTGCGCGAAGGGCAGCCTGAGGGCTGAAAATCAAATCTCCAGCCCGGGTTGGTGCCCTTCCCCTGGGGCCTGGGCAACAGAGGCGAAAGGCCTAAACACTACAAAATGCAGAAACCCTCAACGCAATCAGAGTTATCTGTATTGTTAGCAGCCTCCGTGAATATTTTCTAAGGGGAAAAAAAAGAAAGAAAGAAAGGAAAGTGCTAAAGAGAGGAAACAGGACAACTTCTTTAATAGGGAGGAACGGCAGGCCCCTTACCTGAAACCTTCTCATGTCCCTCGGGTTTCCTGCTGTTTTCAAACAATTCTGATTGCACTTGAGGAAAAATTTTAGAAAGAATCTGTGAAGAGAAAGCGATGTGTTACATGGTGGAGTAAACATTTTTTTAGGGGAAAATAGATCTGCATTATATTAGATTTGATTTAAAAGGGATTGTATTTCATGTCTGGGGAGTTTCAGCCGGCCCTGCCTGGGAAGGAACACCGCTGACCTTCTGCAATTTGCAAATTTGGATGTTTGCGATCACACGCCGGCTCCAGCACCGCTGAGGCCTGCGAAGCGGTTCACAAGCTGGGCTCTGGTTTATATACCTGCCCCCCGAGCTGCAAGGGCACTCCGTCTCCCACAAATAAGGCTTCCAAAGCAGCAGTGACTCCTGCCGTGCAAAAATGTCTTGCTCCGGGGGAAAAAAAAATGGCATAACTTCCCCCAGAATCCCAGGGTTTCTCACGCATGTGGCTTTCCGCCGACCACATGCACCTCCGCGCTCACATACCTCACACGTATACCCTCACACACAAAGCGCTCCTGGTCTTTTTAACCAATGTATACAAAATCAGAAAACAGTAATGTTGCCATCCAAAGGCGGGTCAGTCTGTGCAGGTACACACTGGGGTTTTTAGGACTCATAACAAGTGTGAATGTCCTCTCAGACCTTCTGCAGATTACCGGGAAAAATACAAAGTCACCGAATCACCGTCTAAGGTTATCATTCATCGTGAGGCATATTGGTAAGCCAACTGTTTCTAAAATAAACTATTTGTGCAATTTCTAAATTGGGCATTTTTAATCAGACAACTATGTCGAACCAGAAAAATGGGAGAGGTGACCTTTTCAGCCATTTACCTATTTAATGTTTGGGATTTTTGTTTCAAAACACAATAAGTTTTTCATTTATCTCACTTGCAGAGTCCTTTTCCTTAAGAAAGAAAAAAAAAAAAAGAAAAGAAAAGAAAAGAAAAAAATCCAGCTTTTGCAGTGTTAAAGTCCCAGGTGAGCTAGGCCTATTTCCCTTTCTGTTACTATGACAACGAAATTTTACCGCAGTCCCAAAGTCCCTCCAGAACTCTCACATCCATGCCTTGAATTAGAACTTTAAAGGAAAAGATATACATTTTTTCCCCAGGATTTACCAACAAAAATAAGTAGAAATCAACAATGCTTCCAAAAATTCTATTTTAAAGCAACGGCTGGTGAGATACTCTCTGGGTGACCTTCTGTTTATTTTTTATTTTTTAAAGAATCACACAAAAGAATTGGACAGTGCTCCAGTTAATTGTATCTAGCACTTAAAGAAAAAAAAAATCTGATGGAAAGATAAACAGTAAATGATGAAGGAGGAGAGAATGGGAACTGTGTTCTTCAATATGGTTTCTGTATTTGAGGATGTTTTACTCTAGATTTGCTAAAAATATTTGGCCAACTGCTCCTGACCCCTAGCTACAAATAAAGGTGGGGTGGGAATTTGGAAATAACAGCTAAAATTTTGTTCATGATGTTATAACATCTGCTTTTCACTTCTCTCTTTTCATCTTGGCTGGGCCGGGAGATTAGGCACGACTTCCTGTGCCATGAAGGTATCCGGGTCTTCACCAGAGCTACCTCTGGAGTGACAGGGCAGAGGAATGCTCCACGCTTCTTTATTATTTGTTTGTTTGTTTCCTTTTGCTCTGCACTGCTTTATGCAGCATTCAAAATCACAACCTGCTTTCGCTTCCTAAAGTGCTGTGAAACGTCTTCCAGTAGCACTCAGAGGTTGATCACAATGCAAATATTTTATTTTTCTAAAGGGAAACGTCCTTGTACTTGTGCATTTACAGAAGAGGTGGCTAGAGTCACTCACAACCCATGGAGATGCTCTTACAATATGCTTAAAACTTGCTTTATTCTCACTCGGGTCTCCTTCCGAACAGTAGCCCCCACTCCCACACCACATCTATCCTCCAACACCCCCAAGCGTGATTTACACCTCTTCCCCTCCTAAAGCTTTTTCTTCGAGTGCTTTTTCTTACAGAGTCCTTGATTTGGGGAAAGTTTTGCTTCGATTGAGCTCCTTATAATGCACTGCCCGTGTTTGATACATTCCCTTACCTACCTGACCCTTTCTCTAAAACATATCTGGCGAAAACATTAATGTTCGTGAAGACATTATTAGATGCATGGTGTGGAAGGTGGAAACGTGCAGAAGGAATACATGTTTACATGAAATCAAATTGATTTAGGGAAAGAAGGGGCCTGCTGAAAGGCTCGATTCAGTTTCAATTAGGACCCTTATCAGTTCTTCGGGTGGAAAATTTTGACTCTTTTGCTGGCCTGGAGTCTAAGTCTGTAACCCGCCCAGCCCCTGCACACTAAGGATATAATCTTCTGTTCATAAAGGGGAAGAGAGCAGCAGAGGAAGGAGGGATATGTGGGGAGAGAGAGAGGGAGAGAAAATTCTCTTACACTGTATACAGCTTCCTAAAAGAAGACATAGCTGCTTCTAAATGGCTAGTCCAGAAATTATGACCTGGATATTTTATATGTGAGCCTAAAAATTAATTTAAAGGAGTCCTGGGGGTTTACTGCTCTCTCCAATTTTCTCTCTTCTTTTTACTGCTAGCTTCCACCTCCCTCCCTTCCACCCCCACCCCCTACCCACCATGCTCAGGGGCTCGATACAGAACCCTTTACTAACTATACCATCCATTAACCACAGGGTGACTTGCAGGGAACAAATCCCCTGGGCCTGGATCCCTCCGAAGCCGGAGCTGCCTGGGAAATGTCAGTGCTCTACGCTCAGAAACGGAAAACCCAAATGAACTGCAAGATTCAGACCAAATGTGCAGATTCTCATCAGGCTGGAAGTTGTTATTTCCACTTTCTCCAAACAATGTTGACTACATAAATATCATAACCACTTAGTAGTACACTTTGCAAAGCTTCTGATCTCATTCCTTAGGAGTGGACACACCAACAACGACAGGTTTATCCTTGGTCTCTAGATACACAGGAGTAGAGAGGTGGGATCAAAATGTGAACTCAAGCAGCACATTGCAACCTGGTTCCTAGGTCAGCTGGGGTGATGCAATGAACCAAAGGGCATTTCTTCACTCCAAAGATATGTATGACATGCCGCACGGTAGTCTAGTCTTGACCTGAGCCAAGTGTGTAACCAAATTAGCTCACTTCTCTGGGCCTCAGTTTGTTCAACTGGGTCTAACTGGCTTATCACTAGGGTTCTTCTAACATTAATATTCTGTGATGGCAAAGAAAAGTGTGTAGAGTTGAGAGCCTCCAGAAATGGCTACACTGAGGGAAGAAACCACTAAGACAAAAAGACCATGATTTGCTGCAGTCCAAGGGGGTGTGTGTGCAGGGTTTTATGAAAGGTAGGTCAAATCCACTGATCTGAAGTGGTGGGGAAAAAAGTAAGCAGGGACAGCTGATCGGTGGGCAGTGGGGCATCTCGAGTGATGCCTTGGTCAGAGCAGGCAGTCCCCTGGGGCTTGACAGGCAAACTGTTGAGTGACCATCATCTTAGGCTCCCTTCTACATGCTTCTGAGTCAGGAGAAGGTGGCTCAGGAACATCACCGATCAGAGCCATCTGTGTCCCTGCTCACCATCCTGTGTTGGTCCAGCAGCTGAAGGGTACAGGGATCACAGAGGAGATCCTTCGAAAGTCTGTCAATCATCTACTCTGTGCCATACCCTGAGGCTAGGTGGAAGTACCTCATATACAATGCGCCATTTTTTTCTTACAATAACTTTACGACTGATGAATCATTTCACAGCTAGGAAAAACGAAGTCACCAAAAATTTAAGAAATTTGCCCAAGATCACATAGCTTGTCAGTAGCAGAAACATGGATTTGAACCTGGGTCTTTCTCACAGCAAGCTCCATCTGGCGGTCTGTTTCCTGAACCAATTAGATTGTGGTGACAGTTGCACAACTCTGTGAATACATTAAAAGCCACTGAACTGTGCACTTTAAATAAGTGAACTTTATAGTGTGTAAATTATATCTCAATATAGCTGGTTTTAGAAATTTAGAAAATGGTCTGAAAGAAAGAAGAAAGGAAAAAGGAAGGAAGAAAAGAAGGAAGGAAGGAAAATAACGAAAAGAAGAGGGATGGAGGGTGAGAAGGAGGGAGGAAGGGAGAGAGGGAGGAAAGAAAAATAACAACGTGAAGGATTCTGGTTTCTTGAAGAATAAGAAGACTATAGCATCCCTAGAAGAAAACACTAAGTCAAATATAGTTGCATGGAAGTAAATGCCTACTAATGAAAATCCTTGCTGAATTAATTGATTTAACCATTTGAGCAATTATGAAGTGTATAGTATGTTCCACAAAGGTTCAGACACCATGGCAAATAAGATGGACCAAATCTTTGCTGTCATGGAGCACACTACCAAGCTATTCAAAATATGCTTCTTCAGATTCTGAGAGGAATCTGGAGACTCCTGAATATGGGTCTAAGATTTCAGGGGACTGCCCAGCCACACAGAAGTGTCTCTCTCTTGCAATCTCTGGAATATTGGAACACATAGCACTGTTCGAGAGTAGAATGAAAGTTCCTAGATGGGTCTAGATGTGTCCTGGGACTTCCCAAACAGAAACTGAGATTCAAACTAGTTGCACAAATAAGGTGAAAAGTCAAGGTCCAGAGGTGGGGGAAGAGAAGGAGGTACTGTGTCTAAATCAAAGGAAAGGCAGATACTTAGTATTCATGCCGGATTCCAGAATTATAACCAATGATCTGATGGATACAAAACCTAGCCTGATTTTGCCCAGATTTGTGGTAGAGGTCATTCAATTCACCTCCCATTTGAATGCCAAGATATAGCGCCTTCTAAAAAATTGTAATACAAAAAACGTTAAGGAAAGCACTGTGGGAAGGCTTGAAAGCTTCTTTCGAGAAAAAGATTAGACAGGGATGTGTATCAAAAGAATGTGGACTTAGCACTAGTAACAGCTACCATTAAGCAGAACCTTACTCTACGCAAAATAGTATGTAGAATACCTTTCACTTTGAAACTTATCCCCTTAAAGAAATCTAATTCTGCCAACCCTAGGGAT